CTTTTCTTGTCTTGTTGACTCCAGCAGCCTCTGGCCTAAAGTCTTGTGTTGCTTATAGACTCGTCTCATTATATGCCAAATATTTTTATTTTCAAGACAGACAGACAGACAGACAGACAGACAGATAGCAGTCACTAACCTGGGAAAGACGTTCAAATGAGTCAGGAGGCGTGATGTGTCATATAAACTTTATTACTCTTTGTGACCAATGGAATAGAAAAATATACAATACAGCTTGTTTAATTAATTTTGAAAATAAAAAATGTAAAATGTAAAGTAATATGGCTTGAATTGTGTTACATTATTTTTACAAGCAAAGAACTCATTTTGTAAATGGCAATTTGAGTAGAAAACATACAATCAAGCAAAGAAGCTTTAAAAAATCCTTTTAAGGTTTTTTTTCTGATTATTTTTTCAAACCGTTGTTTTTTTAAAAGTGCCTCATATTGTAGTTTAAGTCAAATAAGTGTGATTGATTTTAACATTTTGACATTTATTTTACAATTTTTATTTTTCTAATTTTGCTTTTTCTGTTTGAGGTTTACAAATTGCATCATTTTAAAATTGGGATTTATAGCTCACATTCTCTGTGAAAAACTTAAAAATACAATTAAACCTAAGAAAACAGCAAATTACAGCAAATAATTCTTCAAACATTTATTTCTGGGTTGAAGTTTGTTTTTTTTTTTCATTTATTTCCATTTATAAAACTTGTTTTTTTCTTGGAGCAAAAATGGGACAAAATAACCTCCATAATAACCTCCATAATAACCTCCATAAATTTGAAAGCATAGAAAAAAAGCCCTTTAAATGAAAGTCCATTATAAAAGGTTTGACACAGAGCAAGACAATGCTCGTCTGGATATGTAGCTAAAGTGAAAAGAGGAAGATCCTGCTGAAGGAGTTCTGGTCAGATGATGAGTAGAACCACCGATTATGATGAAAACCAAACACCATCTACACTCTGATGTACGGTGGTGGCATCCTCATAATGTGGGAAAGCTGGTGGAGTTAGTTGCGAGGTGGCGGAAGCAGGATCCCTCCCCAGCAAGACTACAGTTGGAGCTCCAGTGGAGGGATTTGGATCAACAGATCCAAACAGAGGATCCGCACCAAAGAGCTGCTCCCAAAGCACCATTGGAAAAGAAACACAGAGTTCACACAGATGAAGGCAGCCCATCCATGCTCACTTAGAACCGGACTCTTTCTCCATTCCAGCCTGCGTCATCAGCTCAGAGACGTTCTTCTCCAGGTCCTCAATACGGCTTCCCATCTGATCCAGTTTACAGGTTAAAGAAATCGGCATATTACTGATAAAAAGGATGTTTCGCTAAACCCCAGATTCCACACACTCCCTCTGAGATCCGCCTCGCTCACATTTGACAGGCAGAGTATTTGTCTGCCATGTTAATCAATGAGAGCTGTTCCACATCCACCGCTACTCATCTGCATCAGTGCAAAACTAATCCTAGTTATCCCTGTTACGAAAATCCACAACAAAAAGAAAATATTTGGGCAGAAATTATGCAACCGCTTTTGGCATTTACATAATCATATTTAGATACTTTAACACAATTGTTTTATGTCCTACCCTGCTGACATGAAACAATTGTGTTAAAGTAACTAAAAATGATTACGTAAATGCCAAAAATGGTTGCATTATTTTTTTTATCTAAGCTGGATGCCGACAGCAATCTTTTTATATTATATCATATTAAATGAATTGCTCATTTCTGCATGTTTTGCTAATATTAATTTGATCGTGCATGCTCTCGTCGAGCCCTGAGGAAGTCAGGGTGGAGCAGCAAGGGAGGAACAGCGGAGGCTGGAGGCTCTGCTTTCCGCAGGCGGCCTGGAGCGAAGCGGGGCCGAGACGGAGGATGAGGGATTTCAGGGTAACAGCGCAGCACTGATTTAAACCATGAGCTTTATTAGCTTAAAACCTTAATTGTTATATCAATTAGAATTTTGTAATCTTAATTTTAAAGGCACACTATGCAACATTTTTCAGTTAATTAATGTGTTCCATAACGTTTTGGATGATTAAATGAGTCATTTCATGTCGAACAAAGGTTTTCTCGGCCGCCCTGGTGGTCTGTAGGGGAAATACCGTACTTGCAATTGCAGGAGCCCTCGGCCCGCACCCACAGGCTCAGAAGTCTCGTGCAACGCAAGAGTGGGTCTTGCTTTACGGCGAGAACTGCTACACGCCCCCACTGAAAGGCATGCTCGTTGCTAGCGCAGTGGCGATATTTGTGCAGTTATCATGGCGGAACCAGCGAGAATTTTCAAACTCGAAAATTGGAACAAAATAGTCACTTACCACAGTAGACATGGTGATTCGTTGCGTTCGCTTGTCTGCTAAGCTCAAAACGACCGCGCCTGGCTTGACGGAGAAACCAGGAGAACAGCTGAGCATATTTACGACAGTGCACTTTTACTTTCGCCCTCTGGGGGGAGCCTCGCTGGAAAATCAACACCGGTTGCATAGTATACCTTTAAAAATTATTACACTTATATTTACATCCTGTGTTGCAATTCTGGATAGATGCAAACTACATTTCGTTGAAATTGAATACTATTTAATTAATATTACAACCCATCAGAGATGGGTCCAGCAACACTGATGCATTGGCACATGTATCCAGCTAATGGACCCTGCGTCGGAGTGCGTTTTATTTTAAAAGTCACGACTGATTCAGGAGCTGTTTCCAACTGACTGATGCTTTAAAATTGTGTTTATAAGCGCAGCTGTTAATGGAATGCTTCTGCTAAAAAACAAGCAAAACTTTGATCTTTTGCGGTTTATCATCAAATTCATGAAGAGATATGGAGCAGCTGTATTTTACTGGTATTTGGTTTGATTTTCTCGTGTCATCCTGTTCCTCTCTAGCCTCATGAGACCATCCTGATCTCGCGAGCTTTCAAGGTTTCACTCGCTAATCAGTCTGGAGACTCTCCTTTGAAGAAAATTTGGAGCCGTTCACCAAACGGACGTCCAATCCGCGTTGGCTTTGAGGCGGGTTGAGGTGTGACGCAACGAGAAGCGGGACAGTTCAGTCTAAAGAACATGGCGGCTTCAGCCGATGAAACTAGCGTTAGCGTGGCTATCAAACAAGTTTTATCGGAATTACAGAGTATTTCTTCACTGAAAGAAGAGCAAAACACTGCTCTGGAGGCTTTTCTCAGAGGAAAAGATGTTGTTGCTCTTCTCCCGACTGGTTTCGGCAAGAGTAGCCTGGCTGTTAGTACGTCATATGCTTCGTTGATCTGATTGGTTTATTTGGCTCGTCTATCACCAACATAGGCCAATCAGCTAACCAGTATTTTCGCCCCTTCCCAAAATTACTTCAACCGAAGGTGTCCAGATGGATATGCGGAGCAAATCTTTCTGGCGGAGTCAGGTTAGTTCCTCTCGGTTATCCCTAAATTCATCGAAATTAAAATTAAATTCAATTTAGTTTACCGTATTTATTGCACTTAAGTTGTTTTTTTCTTTTTCTTTTTTATATCCTAGTTTGCAAGCATCCTCATTCACAGCTTCATCTAAATTTTCACATTTTCACATATTTTCACATTATTTATTGACTTCATCTAAAATGTTCAAAGATATTTTAACATAAAAAAGAAATGGTAATACAATATAAAATACAATTAAATTATAGTATTACTAGGTCATGAAATCAGCGTCAGATTAACCCTTTATGGAGCAGTCAGTAAAATACTTTGAAAATCAAAATTTCCAACCAGTATTGTTACTGAATCCAGAAACTTATTACCAGCGGCTGATCTAGACCAAATGTACCAGGGGGCCAGGAGGGGGCCAGTGTGTTTTTATGGGGGCACAGAAAAGCATGAAATAAAAAACAAGGCAAGGGATTCAAATACATTTAGAGAGCTGCATGAAGTGAAATTTCTATTCAAGTAAGTTTAATTAAAAAAATTCTATGTGTTATCAGGTCAATATACATTCAGAATATAGGAAAGTTTACATATTTCTGACTTAATTTAAGTTAAAATTACCGCTTTTTATAAAACCTGAATTAGAACTCAAGAGCAACAGATTAATTCAGCTATAAAAATTAGAATTTTTTTTATTTGTTTTGAAAAAGAAAAAACTTTTAGCAGATGATAACTGGGATCCTATTTCAATGCCACTGAAGCTATCACCTTATTGTTTTTAAATAATTAGTAAAACAGAATTTGTAAAGAAAAAGAATGAAACAGATCAAAAGGACCTATCAGTTACCATGTCTGTTTCAGCGCATATCATCATTAGAATTTTATTTTAGTAATATGTCTTCAGTACAGGGGCCATTACAGGGGCCAGGACATGATCTACAGGGGCACTGTACCCCGTTGGCCCCTGTATAGATACGCCCATGCTTATTACCTTTGTAAAATTCAAAAAATATGAATATTTTGATGGCAAAAATGAATGTCAATGTAACAAGAAATGCAAACCTGCCCGAATATATTAAGAAAAATAAAAGTGTTTCTATAAGAAATTCATGAAAAACACAAACTTTGAGGGATTAATGCTGACACTGGCATTTATATTTTTTATTTTATAAACTTAAATATAATTGTTAATTAGGATTATTAACTTTTTAACTTTAGTTTTTAACTTTTCAATTAGCTTTTTACATTTTTTATTTCTTGTCTTGTTAAATTTTTTAATTTACAGTAGGTAATTTATCATTCAAAGGCTCATCTAATTGGTCAAATCAAAATCAGATGTGCAGTCATGTAGCAGCATCTTTGCTGAATGGCTGGATATAGATCTTGTGCTTCTAGACTCTATCTGTAAGCGGGAAGCAAGTGATCAAAAACAGTAAGTTGTCCTATAAAGGGTTAAACGGGCTGCATGTAGTGATTTTAAACGTCCAGCAGGTGTCGGTATTGAGTCACATGCTAACGATAGTTTGGTAAGTTTAAAAATACATCAACAGGTTAAAAAAATAACACCTTAAACAAAGTAAATGTGGTCAAATTGGGCTATAATTGTGGTATTTATTTAGAGTTATGTGTTTTACTTCTAGAATCTGTTATTTTATAGAGAAAGAACAATAACCGTGTGAGCGCCCCCTATTGGTCACCTGATTTCCTGGAGAAAACTCTCTTGTTTAGGAGCTCTGATCTCAGGAGTCTGAACAACAACTAAAAAGCTGCATGATTAAATGTAAAACAGGTTAAAAAAAGGGGGAAATGGATATTTCTGGACTCCAGCTGCTCTGACATGGCCAGGAATCTCTCCTGAAGGACCCGCATCGTAGTTTCCATCTGCAGGCAAAAGGAAAAAGTCATGTTCTGGAAATACAGTTAAATAAATGTTTGGCTGCTCAGTTATGGGGTTTCTGCCCATAACTGAAGCTTACCGCTTCTGTCATTTCTTCTGCGGCTTTATTTTCTGTTTTAGACATGTTTTCTCCTCCAAGCGTTTTCTTTCCACTGTAATATAAAGGCCAACCCCAAACGACTAAAAAATAAAATTAATTGGTTTAAATAAACGACTTGCGCGACGTTAGAAGCGAGTTTCGTCCCAGATCTGTAACGTTGGCAGTGACTGCCTGAACTTTGCTGCACATCAGCTGGAGTCATTAAAACCTGGACTTCCGCTTTCTGCTGTCACCCCTTCAAAATAAAAGCGTCAAGATTAGAAATTGCTTTTTTTCAGTTTTAAGAATAAAGTCGTTACATTACGAGAATAAAGTTGTAATATTACGAGAATGAAGTCATCATACAACAACCTGTTTCAGAAAGAAATATTACGACTATATTCTCGTAATTTTATTACTTTATTCTCATAATGTTACAACCTTATAGTCGTAATTTCATGACTGTTCTTGTTGCGACTTTTTTATGGTAATATCACTTTATTGTCGTAATTTTATGACTATATTCTCGTAATTTTATTACTTTATTCTCATAATGTTACAACCTTATAGTCGTAATTTCATGACTGTTCTTGTTGCGACTTTTTATAGTAATATCGCTTTATTTTCGTAATTTTATTACTTTATTCTCGTAATTTTACTACTTTCTTCTCATAATGTTATGACTATTCTTGTAATTGTATGACTATTCTCGTTGTGACTTTTTTCTCGTAATATCACGACTTTATTGTCGTCATTTTATGACACTATTCTCATACTTTTATGACTATTCTCATATTTTATGACTATTCTTGTTGCGACTTTACTCTCGCAATTTTACGACTTTTTTCTCGTAATTTTATGACTTTATCCTTGTAATTTTTTTTATGACTGTTCTTGTTGCGACTTTATTCCCGTAATTTTACGACTTTATTCTCGAAATAGAAGAAAAGAAAATAACTAGTCATGTCCTAATACTCCGTCTTACTCTTCGACGAACTTAAAAATAGTTTTATTTACTGTAATGGTTGTAATTGATTATAGGTCAACAGGAAGCAGAAGTGATACATGAATGTTCGCTCTACCGGACACTTTATTAGGCACACCTGCTTTTCTTCACTCAGTCAAAATGAGCTGATTATTGTGGAGTGAATTCTGTTCCATTAGGAAGTGTTGTATGTAAATAACATATTTTGTAAATGGAAATTAAAAAGAAATGCAGAAATCCAGAAATCAAACTTTTAAAAACTTCTTAATAAAAAAAAAAGGTTTTTAAATGTGCATTGCTACTTTCTTAGGTTAGGTTTTAAACATTGTTTATCAAACTTTATTTATTTTTGTTTTTCCTTTTTTTGAATCTTGCTATTCTTTTTTTATACATTTTTTTTTTCCTTTTTTTTTTATTTCAGTGAAGATAATGTGATCTGTAAAATGCAATCGGAAAACAATCGAAAAAAAGATTAAATGAAACATAAAATGTGCCTTATATACGTCATGCTTTTCGCAAAGGTGCAAAAGTCCATAAAACTCATGTGCCAAATCTGATACACTTGATGTTAAAGAACTTAGATACAATTCTCTCACATACAAAATGAAAACTGTTTGTTTAAACCACTGATCTCTATTTAATCACTGAATTGCTGATTGCCTGTTGGTAGTACAGGGTTCAAGTGATGCCACCGACCGCCATATTGGTACTCCACATTTAGACCAGTCGCTTTTTTCCCTTCAAAATAACATACAATATGTTTCGGCACATAACTTTTTCAAGTGAGAAATACAACAAACACTACAAAACACGACTGCGTCATCCACTCAATAAAGGATTACTACATTTACATTTCACAGTGAATTACTTTCTATTACCTCTACTTTCTATTTTTTAACATTAGACACAATGTTGATGGCTAACTCAGTCTTCGAGTCAGTCTGAAATAGCCAGACTAATGTTACCCTACATACTATAGTATAGGATACATCAGCGTACAGATGGATTTTATTGGTTAACGTCCACTTTTTTGTGGAACGTCTTCCTACAGCCGGCAAACTGCTTAATTTTGAAGCCAAATTCTACACATGTAGGCATTTTTTGTGCGCATCTCTGTGGGAGTGGGGAGCACCAGAATGGCGGACGGTGGCTTCATTTTTTGCGGGCAATCAGCAATCCAGTGAATAAATAGAGATCAGTGGTTTAAACTAGTTTTTTTATGCAAGGCGGCCATGTTGGAATAAAGCAACCATGTATAGAAAATGTGAATTTAGAATTCATACAAATTTTGATCCTTTTTTATTTTTGTTCTCCAGCATGAAACCCAGATCCCTTAGCCTTTCAATAATAAGGAAATAAATAAATACATTATATACTCCAACTGTATTTTGTGACATAATCTAAAAAAGCACTTCAGTGTATTAGTGCTGCTGTAAAACATCGGTTGTTGGTGATAATTGAGGAAAATGGGTATTTCATTAACATGTAAGCGAGAATAGTTTTTATTTTTACTTTGATGTTAAGATAAATTGAAAAAGGAAAAAATTGTTTGGGGGGGGTTTATTTTGAAAATAAACATCCCACTGTTTCCTGTGGTTGACTTTTCTTGGTTTGACTTTGACATTCACACTGATTTGTGTGCAGTGCTGCACATGGGGAAGCACTTGCTTAACTCTTTGTGAACCAGTTCTTTCAGCCACACATCTGTTTGGTTTGATGCGTTGCTTTTTGTTTTTGTTTATTTTGTTTTTATCCAACAGAGCCGTAAAAACTGTTCCTTACAAACACTTTGGTGTTTGGGTCAAATATGGTGGGCAGACTCCCAGTAGGGTTATATAATTTTCATTATGAAGCTTTTTAATCCGGATTTTGCGTGTCTTTCATCCCCCTTGCTCGATGGGATGAATTTATGATGAGAAACTAAAATAGAAACTAGCTAAAGTGTTCTGCACCTCTGAGTCTGAATAGAAAGGATGAGACGTGGGAATAAAAAGGAAACTAAAAGAACCCAGAAAGATAAAATATTTAAGTTCTAGACAATTACCTCTGCATCCCCTGTTCTTCAATAAAATATTTACTCTTCCTGCTGCAGCATAAAATCAGTGGCCTGTTAGAACACGGTACATCACACACCCTTTGGCTACACCAGCTGAAGTGAGACACTTTTAGTAGCTATACTATCCCTGAAATCTGTAAGTTTTGAGATATTAAAGCTGGTTAAAAGTACTTCTTCCTTATCTTAATTTAGGTTTTTATGTTTTTTTAATCCTAAAATATTCATTGTTAAATTAACTGAGGTTTTTGGGTTTGTCTCCATGATGCAGGTTCAAAGTCTGCTTTAGATTTTATCATTAAACAGATTGGTTCGTATTTTCCTGAGGTACCATTAGAGAGATAGTTGTTGTGTGTCATCTGCATAGAAGGTGTAATGCACAATAATACGACATATAGACGTTAAAATAGTAACCTAAGGACAGAGCCTTGAGGAACCTCATCATTAATTTCTGTTTGCCAGAATTTTCATCAGCAAATAACTTAATTGTATGGAGTTAATTTTGTTCCATTATTGTAACTTGTTCCATATATATAACCCTGAAAAATGCGATCAAGAAATAAAATTTTGAAAAACAAAAAAAAAAATGTTTTCTGAGCAGCTTTGCTTGTTTTTCCCTCAGATTTTTTTTGCATCCTCTTAAATATATTTTTCATATTTTGTATTTTGAATTAGATTTTTTTTTACCGTCTAACCCCATCATCAAGTTTGTGGACGACACCAAAGTGATTGATCTCATCAGCAACAAAGATGAGACTGGCTACAGGGAGGAGGTCAAGCACTTGGCCACATGGTGCACTGAAAATAACCAGCTCCTCAACACCACCAAAACGAAGGAGCTCATCATAGACTTCAGGAAAGATTTAACAGGCACCCACGACACCAAACACATCAATGGAATAGCTGTTGAAAGTGTCTCCAGGTTCAAGTTTCTGGGGACCCACATGTCAGCGGACATGTCCTGGTCAACCAACACCGAAGGCTCACCAGCACCTCTTCTTCCTAAGAACACTGAGGAACAGCTCCCCTCAACTATCCTGGTGAACTTCTATCCCTGTGCAATAGAAAGCATCCTGACCAACTGTGTAACAGTGTGGTGCGGAAGCTGTTCTGTTGCAGAGCGCAAGGCACTGCAGCGGGTTGCGAAAGCCGCCCAGCACTTTAACTGGAACTTCACTACCCACCATTGAGCACATCCAGAAGAAACGCTGCCCACATGGAGCCCGCAGCATTCTAAAGGACTCATCCCACCCAGCCCACAGACTGTTTTCTCTCCTGCCCTCCGGCAGGTGTTTCAGGTGCCTCCGGAACCAGAACCAGCAGACTAAACAACAGCTTTTTCCCCAGAGCTGTCTCTTTACTGAACTTTAACCCTAACGGATAGGCTCTACTCTCCTTCCTCACACCTACAAGACTGTAATATTCACCTGCACCCCTCACTGTTACTATTGTAACAACTCTTTATATGCATCTTGCACTACTCACTTTAACTGAATATTGATTTGCACTGCCGACTGCTTATATTTGCACTGCTGACTGTTTATTCACAGTACCAATTGTTTACATATATATTTGTAATACCGTAAAAACCCTTTTTATAGTAATATCCACCTGTATATTATATTCGGTATATATCTAATTTTAAATTTAGTTCATAACACTAGTTATATATATTTTATATTCATTATTCATATTAGTATTCATCTCTATACTCATTCAGTAGAAATACCCATGTCCTGTATTTATGGAACCATTATTTATCCTGCACTTGCTGCTATTGCACTTCTGGTTAGACCTAAACTGCATTTTTTTGCCTTGTACCTGTACCTGTGTAATGACAATAAAGTTGAATCTAATGTAATCTAATCTNATTTCTGTTTGCCAGAATTTTCATCAGCAAATAACTTAATTGTATGGAGTTAATTTTGTTCCATTATTGTAACTTGTTCCATATATATAACCCTGGAAAATGTGATCAAGAAATAAAACTTTGAAAAACAAACAAAAAAAATGTTTTCAGAGCAGCTTTGCTTGTTTTTCCCTCAGATTTTTTTGCACCCTCTTAAATATATTTTTCATATTTTGAATTTTGAATTAGATTTTTTTAAAATTGTATTTGAAATGCGATTTTAACTGAATTCATTCTGGAAAAACTGAAACTGAAAATAAACAAAACAAAATTGGAAATAAAAATAAACACAAAAACATAAAATAATTATAGAAAATTAAATGTAAAAAAAATTATTTGAAATTGATTTAAAAAAAGATAGCATCTATAAAAAAGTCAAAATTTCTCCCTAAAACTTCTTCTTTTTTTTTTTTTTTAAGGGTTTTTCAAAATTTTATTTGTGGAATGCATCTTTTTGAATTTCAATTGACAAAATACATTTCTTTTTTATTTCCATTTACAAAATATGTTCGCTTGGAACAACAGTGGAACAAAAATCTGTCTATTTCTGTAGATCAAAATCTCAAACAGTGTAGAACATTACCACACAATCTATTTTTTATGCCTCGCAAACTGGATGTTATGATGAACTGTGTCAAACACAACATCTAAACATTAAAAAACAGCATTTCTGAACCCATTACTGTCAAAAACTGGTTACCATGTGTGCAGTAGGTGCTGTGGAGGGGTTTGAATCCTGAATAGAAAGAGCTGAATTATTCTTTTTATCATAATAAATGCTGAAAACAGTCTTTTCAATTATCTTAATAATAATTGTTAGACTGAATACTGGCTTATATTTCTTGTTAGAGTAACTAGATTTGCTTTTTGTTGTTTTTTATTTAAAGTGAGAATTGAACTGTAGTTAAGTTTTGTGGCCCTGAGGAAAAAGGCCTGATTGAAT